TTTCGTCCAAGTTCATCCGTACTTGCTTGATCAAAGACAAGAGATCCTCTTTGGATGAATTACCTGTAGTGACAAATTCCTCCAGGTCTCGCATTGCCTTCACATACTTGACATGTTTTTCGTTATTCGTTTCCGATACGCCACAAGCAGTATCCAACACAGATTCTGTCGAATCACCTTGCATGATCAGTTTTTGCTGGCATGCTTTTTCAGTATAGAGCTGTTGCTGGAGGGTTTTGACTTGTGCTTCGAGCTCCTGCACTTGGCTCAAAGCCGAACGCCACTTTTCCTCCAGTTTTTGGTAGTTTTCCAGGGAAGTGTCTATTTTGTTCGGTAATGGCTCCAGAACAGATTGCTGAGAGGCTGCACTTTCTCTTAAAATATTTAGTTCCACGCTTTGTATTTCTATAATACTCTCAAGTCGCACGATATCCGCATCCTTTGAATGAGAAAAGCTCTCTGATAATTCTTTTTCAACTTCCTTCTCCCCCGGTTGAGAGAGGCTATTACAACGATTTTGGAGCTTAGCGTTTTCGGCCAGTAGATCGTCGTGTTGTTTCTGCAAAACCTTTAGTGCTTCACTCGTGGCATCCATCTTCGATCGTTCTTCGCTGTGTATCTCCCTTCTCAGATCCTGAACTTCCTTCTCCAGCGCATCTGCCTTTTTCGTGAGGGATAGATGATTATCACGAAGAGATTCGTAATCGTTCGTTATTTTTTTGCTCTGATCAAGCTCGCCGCGAAGCTCTGTAATTTTGACTTCGTAGTACGCCACCGTTTCCTTATGAAATTGGCAAACTTCATTCTGGTAGTCCAAAATATTGCGCTCCATTTCGATTTTCTCGGCCTTGTAAGTGGCAATTTCTCGACGGAGGAGATTAACAAGGTGGCTATCCTCTCTTTCCATACTTCCACACGTAGAAGTGCTGCTATGTGGCAATGATCTGTCATTGCCATCACTCCTATGCGCACCGGAGGTTGCGGTATTTTCTCCTAAAACTGAGTCACTCCCTTTTGGGCGCTGAGAAGGGGTAGTCGATGCGGCTTCTCCCATTACCTCACTTTCGTTTGGAGCTCGCATAGGACGGTTGGAAACATCCAAAGAGGGATCGATTTGTGTAGGTGTCGGCGCGCCTACAGTTGGGGTTGAAACCAACAGGAGCTTCTCTGTATCGGCACGTGCGCTCACGGTAGGGACCTTTGCACCCGTATCTTTTACAGAACTGTGCTTAAGAAACGTATAATATGCCTCTTTGGAATCAACAACTACGGAATTATGGCTAGCATCATGGCCTCGCATGCTTATTTTAATTACATTTTGATGAGGATTAGTAGCTTCTGTGCTGTTGTATTGGATCCCTTCCGTTATTTTCCCCTCAAAATCTTCGTCAAGGTACGGCGCAGTTATCTCCTCAGCTATATTTTTTAACTTTTCAGCTACACCCTTCCACATTCTTTAAAAATGTACTGTTTGAGACTATATTTTCCTACTTTCAGGAAATATTCCTCCAATGTGTAATGATGTTGATCACAGAGTAAAGAAGACCGAGGTAAATATATATGCAATAAGCTCCATTTTTCAAATAGCCACAAAATAAACGAATTTTCTTCATTTGGACTCTTTCAAAAATAATCCTCTTTTTCTCACCTTAGGCTCTGTTTATGACTATTTTCCACTCAAGCCTTCCGAGCAAGCAGAGAAATTCCATTGCGTTCCCAATACTATTTGCACAGTATTCCCTCCATACGATTCTTTTTCCTTTAAACAACCCAACAATTGAGAACACAACCATTCTTCATCACACAAGGGGCTGAAGAAGAAAGTCAAGCGAAACATCAATCAGATCCGACGAAGGATCATTCTAAGCCCCGAATTTCGAGCTCACAAAACTGTCGGCGATCAGCATCGACCCCCCCCGCCGCGTCTTCTTTGGCAGGGTGTCTTTGGTGGAATCCCTCTGGAGATCCTTCGCGAGATCCTGCGGGATGCCATTCGCGAAGTATCCCGACGGTGGCGTTCGGCGGCGAGGGCAGCGGAGGGGTGTGTGGTCGCCCCCGCAGATCTGGCAGCGCGAGGGAGAGCGGGACTCCGCTGGGAGGCCCGGACAGTCCGCGAAAAGATGCCCTGTGGCCCCGCAATGAATACAGAAAAGCCGTTTGGCGTGCGCACGCAGGAGGGAGGACGATACCCCTGTCGAGACCGGGACGTCCGCCCCCGACAGCCCAGGGCAGTCCGCGAGGGAATGGCGGCCATGGCAATAAGCGCAGCGCCGCGCGCGGCGAGGTGGGGTGGGCTTCCCCCGCTTTCGAAGCAGCGCGTTGGCGTGAAAAGCGAGGGTCGGGGCCTGATTTGGAACCGCTATTATATCAGAAGGGGAAAAGGGCCCTGTCACCCCCCTTCTCAGGGCCCCACCCTCAGCTCTAGAGAGGCTTCTATCCGCTCGAAAGTCCTCGGCCGCCGCCAGGGCGCTGGTGAGGTCTTCTAGGGAGTCCAATGGCTCCGAGTTCATCACAGAGAACCCCCTCGAACTGCTCACGGAGCCCCTGATGGTTGAATGTATCGCGTTCGATTCCTCTTCCCCCGTGATACGGGATGGAGGGGGTGGTAATGGGTGGATCAGGAGCTCGGGCCGTCGTGGACAGCATTGCCATGGATGCCCGGTGCCGCCGCAGATCGCACAGACAAAGTCGCCCAACTCTTCCGCTCGAATAAAGGGTACGGCGTGATGCCACGGCGTTAACAAGGGCATTGGCAAAAGCATCCCATCTTGATGGGATGAATCCCCCTTACTAGGGGGGGTATGGGCCTCAAACCAATCCTTAAACCACTCCTGGTACACAACAGGAATGACCGTGTGGTGGAGAGGGTGGGCCTGGATCGAATTAGCGCCATTTGCCGTACTCGTTTCCGATTGAGTTACCGATGAATTGGTAAGCAGCGGTGGGGTGATGGCGGACGAATTTTGATCATGTGATTGCAAGGGTGTTTTCGTACTGGAATTCATAACGTCCATTCTTTCTTTCTCTTCTCCAACGGCAGACACCGGTGCTGAGAGCAAAGCCGCAGCGAATGAAACTGATACATCCGCTATAAAACTAGCTGACATCCCTTGAGAAATTTTCGGACTACTTCTCGATATGTTTGGAGAGGGTTGACGAAGAAGCCAACTAGAATCCACCTGCACAGTACCCGTGCTGTCAGATGCCCCTAGGCTGTAATGAGAAATAAACTTCATACCCTGTACGTACTGGTTTTTGAGCTGGTGGAAAAAATTCCCACCACCACTTTTCTCATAGCTCGAATGCAGTTCCTGCATGGAATGTATGGTAGGCAAGTCAGCAGGGTCTGGGTAGCTTATACCAATGCACTCTACCCCGGTGCCAAGGCAAATATTTAAAATCTTTTGTTGTTCCTCAGCAGAATGACGACTAAGAACGTCGAAGAGAAGGCTGCTAATGGTATCGAATGCATTGTTTGAGTATTTTGAGCGGCTTTTGGAGTTGTAAGTTTGAAGCGTCTTTTCTATTTTTAAAAGAAATTCAGAATCCTCATCTATGTGACCTTCGTGGCTCTCATTTTCCCCATTCGATGCAGCGTGATTACCATCTATCTTGAGCGGGTCGTCTTCAAAAACAACACCACTCGACACGAGTTGCGCTCGTCTTTCCATTAGGCCTCGAAGTGCCTGATAATCAGCACACTCCAGCGGACGTTTTATAAGCGGGGTGAATACCAATTCCTCCGCACTACCGTTTCGCACCATGTGTTGAAGATTCATGGGAACATTTACTAGGGTTGCCGGCGTCGTACGTCGTATTTCGCTCGCTACACGTTCCATCAGAAACGCGAGCTCATTATCATTCTCAAAGTCATTCAATACAAAAAAGCCCTCGGCGGCAAACAGAGTCCGTATCTCTTCGCTTGTTAAGTCGTGGGCACGGACTTCGTAAAGCGCCAAGTCGCTACTAGGGTTAGGTGAAAGAGCAAGTAACTTATATTCCATATGTACCTCTCGGTTTGATGAAATATTATCAGCATCGAGATTGTTCTGCTTACGGCGTGAGGCATTATCGCTTGAAAAAGCCCCGCCTCCGCTGAAGGACACACCCAGCAAATGCTCATCTGGTATCCAGGCATGCCTGCACTTGGACACGGAAGAAGTCGGTAATTCGTCCCCATCTGAGCTATGGCGCATTTCCTCCGCATCGGTGCCCAAACTCTGGTGCGAGTCCCGCAACTCAAAGGGCAGAAAAAGCTGATTCAAACGTCTCTTTTGCTGAGCGATTTGTGAGGTTCGCCCGTGGAAGGCGCGTCGGTTGTCTAAAGCGGCCGATAGAGAGCCTTCATAACGCAGTACACCAAGCCCGAAGTGAATAAACCCGCCTTTGATCAAAGGGTCGTGAGGAATACCCATGGGTAGGGTGCCATTTGCGTTGTGGATGGGAATCCCAACCTCGCCCGGCGGCGGTGAGGCCACGGGAAGGCGTGGGGCCCGGGTGAAGGAGTTCGTCCGGCTGGCTTCCCGCCTTGCCCGCTGGCCGATCCCGCACGGCAAGCGGCAAAGCACGCGGTGAACACTCCCCACCAAGCCCATGCGGGCCGCATTTCGCAAAAAAAGGGCTTCGCCTGGGGCGCTCGCGAGGAGGGTGAGGCCCTTGTGGAGGGCTGTCCAGCCGTTCACGACGTCAGCCGCGACCCGGCCCAGGCGCAGGGGGGAGACCAGCGGCAGCGCGAGGTGGGGCATCGCACCAGGGCCACCGAGCTCCGTGGCGCGGCCGAGGAGGGAATCCGAGGCGTCCAACCCCCCCTCGAGGAGGGCCTCGGAGACGTTTGAAGACCCTGTGAGTTGGCGGATCGTGAAAAGCCGTCGTCCATCCCCCGCGGCCGCGACCTGGGCTGGGGAGTAGTAGGGCAGCCCACAAGGCTTGTATACCGCCTGCACCCCTGCACCCACTAGGGCCGTGGCGCGCGTGTCATGGGGCATACACGTGCCCCTGACAAAGCGCAACGGAAGGGGGTGACGTGGGCTCATTACAACGAAGAAAGGGGGGGGGGAGGGGCTAATGAACTACCTAAGTCAGTGTTAAAGAGGCCGGTAAATAGGAAAAATAAGATGTCACAAAGTGTAACAACACCTCCCTTCTCATCAACGTAGGAGGGGGGGGGAAGGGGACTCCAAAATCCTTCAACCCAACACCCATAAAAAGAACATTCGAATTACTCCAGACCTCACTTCCTCATTCCAACAATCACAGATTGTTCGGGTTTTGTTTAAGGTAATTATGACACTCTCAGTCTTTTTTTGTCGGTGTCTTTAATGCTACGATAATGTTGTCGTACCCGTTATAGATTAGTGGATGTCCTGCGGGGATGCGTTGGCGCTGAATCAACTTCACAACCTCCTGTGAGGCTATAGCCCCAACTGAGGCCGCAACCGAGATCACCTCGCTCAAACCCACCCGTTCCAATTCCAGGCAGATTTTTAACAATAACTCGCTCAATCGATCCCAACTTGAAGGCAAAGAAAGACGATTAACTTCAGAGTTAGAGGTCCTGAAACCACTTATCGAACCTTCATCTTCCTTTTGATGCTGCTCCGCAGAGTTAACCAGATGAGTATCGATACTCTGAAGCAAAACCAACTTTAAAAAGTAAAACACATCTGAATGCAAAAAGTGATCCGAATCATGGTTACAGACTGCACCAATCGATGATGAGGGGAAGCGACTATCTTTGGATAACACCTCGCCGCAGAAATGAGGGCCCCCACATCGTGTCCATTCCTGAGCAGCCATAAGGCAAACACCAAAGCACAAAGCGCGTCGCACTCCATCGGAAGGCAAATTATCCATTCCATCAAGCATTTCTCGTATCCGTAAACCCAAGCGAAGCCGCCAAGCAATCTCGATATCAACATGATCCAAGCGAGGACCCAGATTAATAATGTTCGGCGTGGTCGTGGATTCATTCCCAATGGCAAATTCGCATCCCAGGACGGGAGAACCAGAATCCCTGGCGGGGTCGTCAACGACATAGTCCGGACTAAACCTCACCAAACGCACCGACCATATATTTTTCACGGCAACCTCTGCCAGTGCGTGGAGCATTCCGTACGCGTCGTCCTGCTCGTGGTGCGAAGGCCGTCGGACAGTCAAGTCGGAGACGCACGCCGATCGACGTCTACGCCACTCCGCAAACGCCAAGTCCGTCACGTGCTGCACATCCGCAGAAAACTTTCGATGATAAATTTCACAGAGCTCCCGATACCACTTGGTCGTTGTATTCATGTCAGGGACATAACCGCAAAACGGCAGAACCCGGCGAGCTCCCGCTGCGGCCGTCCAACCACTCTCACCGCTGTCCAACCCCCCCACACTCCCCTCATGGGAGTTGTAAAAAGCTCGGATGGCTTGGATTACAAACCAAACCAACACTTCCTCACAGTCAAATCCATCGTTGGGTCCACAGAAAAAGTCGGGCGGGAGGTGTAAAGCCGCTTTAAGCGGATCAGCACAGCGGGGATCATCAAAGAGCTCCTGTAAAGGGCCAGGTGGACAGTTCACCGCGGGTCGATTCAGCCGCACGGTACATAACTCTACGGCTTGCGAAAAACTTCCATCTAGATGACCCATAAGGCATGCCGCCATCGACTCAACTTCCCCGCGAAGTTCCTTATATTCGTGCGCCGTGAAGGGCAAATGATCTGAGGCCTGGAGCGCCTTCCTGTCCTCTCGCGCCCTTTCCCGCCATCTTTTAAAAGCATGATAGAGAATGCACAGGTAGGGTATAGGGCTACTTATCGCCATATCACGCTGAGGCGGTGAATCCAAAGTCTGCACATTAATCATGGGATTGTGCCGTTCAAACCAATCCTTAAGCTCTGGGAAGGGGTCAAAGATGCGCAAGTCCTCCATCGGGTGTTCGCTCGGCGTGAGGGCGTCCAGAACGACGCGATCGCGCAGGTGGGTTTGGATAAATCCAAGCAAGCCTTTGGCTTCGACGCATAAAACGGGAATCCGGAGAGGTCTGGCGGCTCGCACGAGGTCGGAAATCGTGGAGAAGTCCGGATAGCGGTTGCTTGCAATGATAAAGAAGGGTGGCTCCCTGGAGGTGCTCGGCAAACCGATGGTAGCCTTGAGCTGATCGGCGAAGGATTCGTTCTTTAAGACGCCGTGCGGTGGGTGGAATTCGAAACTACTTTGCGGCGTATCGGATGGTAGCGAGGATCGTCGCGCGGCTTCCCAATTTGCCGTATCGGCGATAAAAGACCGAACCCACGCGACCAGCGTTATCGTTTCCGCCAAAATGGTGCAATCCGAATTAAGCTCCCCAAGCCGTTCCGCGACCGCGGTCGCCGTCGGCCGCCCCAAATCCCCCTCCTCGAGAAAAAACGTGGTGGCGAGCTGCTCGCCGTCCACAACGCGCTCATCGACGATGGATACAATGCCTATATTAGTTAAAATAAGGTTTTTGAGGGCTTCAATCACCGTCGCGGTAGCCCCGAGTGCGATGACGTGCGCATGGCGAAGGGCTTGTTGGCCCTTCTCACCCCAGAGGCGCAGCTGACGATCATACTTGGTTTCAGCCAGGGTGCCAATTGAGTGAATTTTTCGTTTTGATGGATCCGTCCGCCAGACGCAAATTTAACAATAAAAGGGAAGGTCAATTCAAAAGAAGCACTACACGTGCGCGAAGGTGTATTTTAGCCTAAACAACCCCCCCCCCTCTCCCCTTCTTTTTCGTTCCTTAAGGAATGGAAAGGATGATATGCGGAGAAAGTTGTTTGGTTATTGCCGGCCACCGCTAAAAAACTTTTGCATAAACTGAAAGGGAAAAGAAAAAAGACTTTATTAGTTTTTAAAGCCCAATATCAAAAGCTCAAAAAAAAACACTGAAATGGCCACAAAGGCTCATGAATCTATCGGTCTAAATTTCTGATGACAATGATAATAAACATAATCTGTTTACTTTATTTAGGTAAACTAAAAAGGATGCATACAAAAAGGTTTAAAAACCCATCAAATTATACATTTCAGCAAGAAGAAAGTTACAACCCTCAAATTTGCTTTGTTTGTATCTTCCTATGGATCAGTAATTAAATAGAATACATGAATAGGTTAAACCATAACATGTACATATGTTTTAGCTTGCTTGCTGCCTACAAATATGTGTATAGGAAAATTCAGGAGCAAACTTCATTTGGTTTTGTATTTCAGGATGATTTGTGAGCTTAGTCAAACTATCTTCTGCTCATTTTGATGTCAATCATGTTAATCGTTTGAATTCACTCTCCAGCTCTGCTAAGTCCTTTTGGCCCATACCCAACAAAGAGACCCCTCCTTGGGGGGCATTTGCTTTAGAGCCACGACGATTAGGCCGTTCAGTGGGCATATTTACCAACTCCTTGGACGCGATCAAGTTCATATCACTTTGGGTGTAGTACTGCTGCCGCTGCATGAGCCTAAAACTCCGCCGACCGGTATTCCGATAATTGTGGAGGGGGGCGATGCTGAGGGAAGGCGCCGTGGCGTCCTGCAAAAACGCGCGGTTGAGCACCGGCAGGCTGTCCCTCTCCATTCGAGACCTCGCCGCGGTGGCGGCCCACGCGGGCCCGTGGCGGGGCAGCCCTCTTAGTTTGCCCCAAAGGCTTCCCTTTTCACCCCGCCGCGCCCGCTCCTTCAACACGCAGTGGCCGAAGCCTTTGGAAAGGCAAAACGAGCAAACCGGCTCGCCGTGGACGGCCTGGAAGGGCTCCGTGACCCCGACCCGCCCGCAGAGAACGCAGCGGGTGCAGTGGGGGTGAAAAAAAAACTCCCGACCTGGACCCGGGTGATCGGGTCGAGCGGTCCACCGCAGGCCTGACAGGGAACGTGGAGGTCCTCGGAGATGTAGAGCGGGCCGCGGTAGTTCTCCGAGGCCCCGGCGTGGTGGCGAAATCGCTCGTACTCCTCCCGCGTTGTCAGGTTATCGGCGTTGTAGACCGGGCCC